CCAGAAATTTAGGGCAATTAAAAACGACCTCTGACAGTTCCTGTACTCTCAGGGTGGAGACTGAACTGGGAATTATGACTGCTTTAACTGATCCTGTCAGCTGTTTGTGTCTGAAGATAACTTTCTCCTGTAACTCCTCCTCCTTCCCCTCCATGCAATGTGGGGGGTGACCTTTGATAAGCTTCTTGTGAGGACTAGAGAAAACTCCCACACATTCAAGTCTGCAGCTTTGTGCGAGCCCAGGTCAATCCGTGGAACTTAGTCTGTCTTTGTAGTTATCCAAGGGTGCTGCATTGAGCCATAAACCTGTGTACTGAGACAGGGAAGGGCAAAGAGAGATGCTGTGGCTTAGAAGCCTCATGAATTTGAGGAAAGAATGGCAATATTTCTGCAATTTTCTGAACAGATAGATTAGATATTTTTAAAGGTAATGGTTTTACAGTTATTTAAGTAATTTCAAAAACTCTTCTAGACTTACAGGTGGATATTCCAGATAAGGTGACATAAACCTCTATAACAGATCTCACTTAGCTGTCAAAACCACTCATTTCCAGAGCATTTTCTTAAAAACCCTCTTATGCACTCTTTCAGTCCCACTGCCTCCCTCTCTCTTGCTTTCCATGGGATGTCCTTATAGGAGAGGGGGGGGAAACCTCTCTGGAAGATGTTAGAAAGCTGATGTGGACCACACTGAGCTGACCTGGGGCAGTGGAGACCTCACTGATACATGCTAAGGGTGCATTCACTGGCTTTGCTCCCTACAGCCCCTGAACAAGCACCCAGGGGAGCCTGGGAACCCCTGTGGTAGATGGTCCTTCAAAGCCAGACATGAGGACCAGAGTTAGGCACACAGAGAAGCCTGCAATTACCTTGGGGAGAGGACTCTAGAGATTACAGTCCTGGAGTCCTGTCCACATCTTTCTTGGCAGCATGAGGCAGCATGAGTTTACAGAAAGAAAACTTTCTGTAAAAGCAGTTCCGTCTTTCCTCCCTGTATTTCTAGTGGGAGGATGTTCAGAGACATTCTGCTTTTATATGATGTCCTTGTAATTTCCAGTTTACATTTATCCATGTACAATTTACACACGTTGCTTTGTGAGTAATCACTATCCTCCAGCTTAAGTAGATCTTTTTCCCTCCATGTGTTTGTAGATGGCCTGTGTTTTGTTGGTCTAAAAAGGCCAGGCTCTACTGGTCTCCATTCCTAAGAAAGTTGTGCTGTCCGTGATCCACCGGTTTGGCAAACACGTGTCCCCCCAGGCCTACGCTTTCATAGCCAACATCCATTTCATTGCCCCACTCATCCTGAATCCTATCGTTTACAGCATGAAAACCAAAACGATGAGGAGATGGATACTGAGGATGTTCTGCCAAAGAGGGGTCTGCAAGTCCAGGCCTGCCATTTGCCAGTAAAGCCAATGTGACGGTCACTGCCAACTGTCTTATGCAAGGTTCAAACCCCAAGAAGACCAGCCAGGAGAGGGTAACATGCCAAACACTTCTGCTGAGGTAAGGATATAAGGAAGGTAAAAGGTATATGGAAGGTAAAGAATACATAGATACCTGCGATGTAAGAACCATGGTTTATAAGAATATCTGGTTAAGGGCTCTTCAGCAGGTAAACAGAGGCCAAAGACAGGAAAAATAACAAATCATACCTAGATACACAAACCCAAAACCCCAGGAGATAACAGAGACAATAACACAGACCACAGCCTTCAGTCAGTGATCAAGGGGCGGCTGGAGGAATCAGGAGGAAAGAGGTTCAAGCAGAACTGCTGAGAAGAGGGAAAGAAAATGATCATGGGTCCTCTGGGAAAGGGCAAACTTAGTGCTGGATATTTGATGGGGCTTGTGTAAAATTTTAGGTGGGATGATTTAAGGGGCTTGTGGAAATGTGCAAAATATATTATGGACCAAAGGCAAAGGAAAGGAGGGATCTAGGTGTATCAGGAAGGAACCAGCCTGGGAAAATGTAGGGAGACTGGTAAAGGGGCTGATCAAGTGTAAACAAGTTGCTGGCCAATACGCTCTCCAGGCGATGCACCTGATCACCATAGCCTGTCCTGTCTGCTCATTAAACTCACTTCTGGCTCTTTTCTGAGTGACCTTACTGTCTGTGTACAGGGGTATTACAAACAAACATTAAGCTGGACTAACTGATGAATGGGAGGAGACCAGAACCGAGAAACACCCAAGGCTGGCACCGGAGAGTGGGCAAACAGGGCCCAGGGTCTGGGCATGGATCTGGACAGCCTTCTGGTCTGCTCCAGGGTTCAAGGGACCCACGGATGCAAGAGTGTCTGTGAACCAAGTGGGCGAGGGTCGTGTTTTGTCCTGACCATCCGTCGAGGAGGAATGGGGCTGGGGGGTGCTGGTCATGTCTACATGAGCACTGCTGGTGTCAGTGTGGGTGCCAGGGCAGGCACTGTTCTCTGTGACCACCCTTTTGCCCACCTGGGACACTCTGTGTGGCCCCAGGGAGACCAGGCTGGTCACTGGACATTCAGACTTGGTCCATTGTATGTGAGGCAGAGGACGAGGGCGATCAGGAGCAGGGGGGGCCGGGTCTGGCAAGGTTCAGCCCCTACAGACACAGCTGGACTGGTGTCCCAAACGGGGGGCTGATAATAGAAGCAGCCCCCCAGGTCTGCAAGGGGAACCCTTTCTATAAAGCAATGACTTTTGGACTCTCTGACATTAACTAGAAGTGTTGTCTTCTCTTTAAAACACAAGTGTTTTCCTCTCTAGGTTTTTCTTTGTTTCATCTGGAGCATTTTGCCTGGGTTAGGCTACAACACCAGATTTCTTGAAATAACTGTCATTCCTGAATTAGCATGCACTAATTAGTATGCTGGAGTTTCCATAAGGCACTGCAGCACAACGCCTCCTCAGACTGGCTCATTTAGACTTAGAAGATTGATTTCTTCCCACCTAAGCTGGTGGGGTAGAGCTGTTTCAAAAGGAGCTGTTCTCTTCCAGCTGACCCAGAGGTGCAGGCGCTGTGTAAACTATCTGTGGACGGACGTTTTAAAACAGTTCAAACATTTAAAAACTGGTTTTGTGTTTCCTGACAGTGTTTGTTATAAACTGTGCACCCAGCACTGTAACAAGTAAGATCATCATGTCCTTGGGAGCACTGTTATTGGGAACTATAAATATTTTTAAAAGTGGTCCAGTGGATTCCCCTGGCCTTTCCAGGCTCAGACCCCTTGGCACAGACCTATACAACCCATGAAGACACATATATGCGTCCTCCCATGTATAATGAAATTACAAGCCCCAGCTAAAGACCCTGGAGACCAGTAATTCTGCTTCTTCCAGTACTGAAGTTTTGGGTTGTTCTGGTGAGAGCTTCAGCCAGACAATCTTTGCCCAAGAGCTGCTCGGCAGAGCCAAATTTTTTCGCCAAAAAATTTCTCTGGTGGCAGTATCTTGTCCCCTCACCTATGACAGTCTGAGCAGAATGACTATTTCTTCTGGCTCCCCTCTCCAAGTAGACAAAAGGTAGTAAAGGAAGAACAAGGAAATGGGGAAAAGAACAAGGAATGATAGCAGACCACAAAGCCAGGCCAGGGGCTGCTTACTTAAACATCTGCTCTGCAAGAACTGGGCCTTGATGGCATGTGGCAAGCAGGTGTCAGGAGGACCACAAAGCTTCCTGGGGTGGTTTGCAGGGAAACTGCTGGACAAGGCTTTTCTGTGCAATGGGAGAGCACCGACTGACGGGGCCAGGCTCCCCTTTGCCAAAAAGTGGCATGTGTTTTTATGTGGCATGGAAGGAGTTCTCCACTCCTCTTTTCTTCCACGGAAGGGAGCAGCTTTCACACAGCACATGTCAGGAGAGGACAGGAGATAAAGCCAGGACCACCACGCATTGCAGCATAGCCCTATCCATAGCTAAGCGGGGCCGCATCCATTGGGTCCATCTCACGGGTGAGACCCGCTGCCCTCAGCCTCAGGGCTGTCCTCAGACCCTCCCCCTCGGCTGAGAGCTCTGCAGCATGTTGTGGATGGCAAAGGCTTCTACAAGCTCAAAAGGCAGCGAGATGAATTCACAGGACAGCAACCCTTTGAGACCAAACCAGCCTCTCTGGCTGAGGAGCCCCGCTGCTTTTCTGCGTCGAGGAGCACCACGGCACGTTTGCCTTGTGCTTAAGCTCTTCCCCAGGGACCTGCTGGTGGTCAGGCTGTTGGGATGCTCAGAGCTCGGCCGGGCTCCTTCCAGCGCTCCCACGCTGGCGCAGGCCGAGCCCAGCCCCGCGGCCCCGGAGGGATTCCATCCATCGCGGCGGGGGAGGGAGCCCGGGGGCATCGGCTGGGGCCGGGCCCCGTCCCGCCGGCTGGGAGCGTCGCCAGCAGCACCGGGCAGCTGCCAGCTCGGGATCCCGCGGACTTCCATCCCCCCTTTCCGCGGGGGGTTCTGCCGCGGCTGGGGCTGGGTACCCCGGGGAGGCGGCGGGCGGGCGGAGCGCGGCTCGTTGCTTCCCTCTGCTGGCTGCTGCGGGAGGTGGGATGCGGTATGCGGGAGGTGGGATGCGGCATACGAGATGCTCCCGGCCCCCGCCGCTCCCGGGCCCCGCTGGCCTCAGCCCACGGTGGGGAGCTCCTCATGTTAAACAAGGACGGGGGGGGGGCATATCTCTGCTTTGGGGACCACAGATGAGAAAGCAAATCCCTGGGGTCACACAGGTTGCCCCATTCCAGATGCACCCCATAGGTTCTTTATCCCATGTCAGGACCTTCACTGAAAGGTTGTTTCTCCTTTTGTTCTTCCTTTTCTCATTTTCCTCCTTTTTCTGAAGCAGGGAGACAGTCCAGAAGTAAAGTCTCTATGACAGGGTCCTCACCTGAGTGGCTTACTGAAGGCCTTTTGCAGAGGATCCCCAATTAAGCCTCTGTCAGAGAAAGGATGCATGCGCACAGAGACCTGCACACCACACACACCCCGAATACAGCTGCTGCATTCAAAAAGTGGCTGTGCTTTGATTTTGAGACTTTCAGGTTGAAAACCCAAAAGCTGAGGAACTTAAACCCTATGCCTGCTTTCCAGACCTGAGCTGAAGCTTGCCACCAGCGTGGCACAGGAGAGAAGAATCCCTGAAAGCTGCTGGGCAAAGACAAAACCTGCTGTCCTGGGGACTGCTCTAGGTCCAGGTGCCTGCGTGCAGGGTGAGAGAGAGAAATGAGGTGAGACCAGCCCCCCCCCCCCGAGACCCCGTGAGATCTATGTGCCACTGACTCACCCACAGGGAGGGATACCCAAGTTAGGTGTGGGCCATAGATAATTCCAACTTTACCAGTATAAAATTCATTTTCAGGCATTAGAAAGCAAGTGTTTGTCTGCATATGCCACAGATATGTCAAGTGGGCGACTGAGGCTTGGGGACCTTATTTAATTAAAACCATGAATACTTACACTAGAGTCAATCTGAGCCAGGGGTTATATGTGCTACAATATCTGTGCTGGCGCTGGACAACCATAAGGCATGCACATGCCAACAGCTGGTGACAATGACTTTTTGCAAATAACCCAATTTTGGGGAGCTTGAAAAATCTAATCTTGAAACATTGATTCCCAAGATGTCAGGTCACAATTTTCCTGAGAAAGAAAAGGAAAAAAGAAAAAAAGGAAGAAGAAAAGGAAAAGAAAGTATCTGGCTGAAAAAGAAAATATCTGGCTAAAGTCAATCTGTCTGGGTTCATTTCAGCAACTAAATCTAGATTTATTGCTTAATTTAAGGTACCCAACTTTTATTTTCTTCACAGTTTTATTAGTTTCCATTCCCTCATGACCTTTCTCTCTGCTCACCCACTTGTTGACCATTCCTATTCTTTGTTAATATTGTATTTTCTTTTTATGCCCCCAAAGAGAGTCCTAACAGAGTACAAGCCAATGCTGACCACTCAGGCCAGGAATGGCAATGAAAGCCTGCTGCAGAGAGCAGACACATTTACTGTATTAATCACCTTGGTGCTTGAAGCAGCAGAGCCTGAACACCCACAGAAGCAGGCAGAGCAAGGATAGAGGCAGTGATGGCAGCAGATCCTGTGTCATCTCAGTAGGGTTGGCTGGAGGAGGTTAGCATCACTCATCTGTGTGTCTTCAGCCATCCCACCTCATCCCAACCCCACTGTGAAGGGGATGATGATACAGCACTCCAAAGGCTTTGTGCGCTCCGTCCCACGCCATAATCTGCAGAGGCAATGGAAGGTAATCTCTCACCAGGCAGCTCACATTAAAGGAGTTCCACTCAAACCCCCATTAATTTTGTATGCTTTCCATGACACTTGTCCAAGCAGCACAGACCAGAACTCTGCCACTCCCAGCTGCATGTGAGCCCCATGGGGACTCAGGGGGAGCGTGTAAATATCACCACCTCCCTGCTGGTGTTCCCTCAGGTTCAGAGGCAGATATCCTCATTCCTGGCTGTCATGGGAGCTGGTGAGTTATTCGCAGTAGCTGTCATTCGGCAGGTTTCTGTGGCTGAGGTGCCTGCTTTGATCTAGAAGGTAAAATTCTGCGGTTGGGAGAAACACCCCTGGACCACTCCAGTCTGCAGCTTTAGGGTCTGAGATGAAAAACACCATTTTCCAGGCAGGGTTTGTCATGTAAATGCTGCTACTTTGGCTCCAGGGTCCTTCTCTGACCTGAAGGGTGTGCTACCTGCAGCATCTACCTGCAGGAGAGTTTCCCAGGCTCCACCTGAATTAACATTTCATGCAGGAAATCACAGCCTGGCTCTAAAAACCTGATATCTACCTCATAACCTCATGCTGCCTTTCACGTATAATTCCCAATAAGGGGACTGAGATGTGCATTCAAAGAAGCAAAAGACTATCAGCAAAGGTTTCCGCTGTCATCACCAGACAGGTTATTGCCAGTCAAAGCAGCTGGAGACCGAGCCCTGACCACCCGTTGTCTGCGAAGGGTTCATGGCTCTTCTTCACATTTCGACTAGTTTGGCTGATGCTGCCCTCACGGGTGGCTTTGCTATTTCTCTGGAAATACTGCAAATCACCTTCTGTGTCAGGCTGAGCAACTTGCAGAGGAAGGGGAAGCACAGACAAGAGTCCCAAAGTAGCACCAAGGAGGAAGGCTGCAGCAGTCCCTGGCATGCACAGAGACGACTCTGCATGCACAAACTCTGCGCATGTTGGGTCTGGAGCATTTGGGTTGGTTTGGTGCGCGTCTGGTGGCAGATGTGGCCAGCTGAGACCAGAATAGGAAGACGTGACACAGTGTGGGGCAGATTATGCTAGGGCAGCACTCTTGGGTTCTATTTCACCCAGCTGCAGTGCAAATGGCCCCCCCACCCCATTATGCAGCGGGGCAATCCTTGGGCTCTGGCATGAGCAAACACTGAGGGTCCTGAGCTCCTCTGTGCAAACTCTGCCAGGATTGCACAGCTTTCCTACCAACAGCTGTGCTCTGCCTTAGACCTTTGCTTCTGACTTTGCTTTAAAATTCAGTGGCTGTTCTGCCTCTCTGGCACATGGTTGTTCCCTGAGATCACCTACTCTGCGGGGTGCTGATCTTCCATGCTGCTTTGTTTTGCACAGGTTCATGGATCATCCTTCCATATTGATGTGATGCAGCCAACAGTAAACAGCCCTGTTGACCTGGATGCTGTGCAAGCCTTCCCTGCCTTGCAGGGATCCTAGTCTGCCGTCATGCAAAATGTGGTGTGAATTAGTGAGGAGAGAGGTGAGGTAGGTACTGAAAGAAATAGCATGTCATATAAAATCAGTGTCAGTCAGTCCTGACTTGTCTCCTGCCTCATATGCTTTTGGGTGCTACAGAACAAAAGCACAATAAATAACAGCAATTGGAGCTGGAGGGGCTGGATTCCTGGGTGCTTTGCCAAGCTTTTGCACCAACTTGTGAACTTTGGTAAATCACTTTGCTGGATTTCAATATCTGAGGCTACAAAATACACTTTTAAATTTAATTTATTACTTGATTTGTAGTCAGTATCTCAAGCATGCTTCCCTGGCATGCGGGGGAGTGTTTTTTTAAAACACTTTGGGATCTAGAGAAATAAAGTGCTCTAGGGAAACTTAGGTAGGTTTTTCTGTATTATGAACTGTGCTCCCTACCTCTTCCCCTATTTTCACTTACAGGGAAAGGAGCCCAAACTAATTCAGTTATCAACCCACCATGGTGGCTGTCAATCAAACCAGCTTACAGCCTGCCTCATTCCTTCTGCTGGGCATGGCAGGCCTGGAGGACCTGCACATCTGGCTCTCCGTCCCCTTCTGCTTGGTGTACATCGCAGTGCTCCTTGAGAACGTCATCCTCTTGTTTGTCATTGTGACAGAGCAAAGCCTCCACAAGCCGATGTACCTCTTCCTGGCCATGTTAGCGGTGGCAGATCTCATATTATCCTCCTCCACAGTGCCCAAAGCCCTGAGCATATTCTGGTCCCTTTCCAAGGAGATGTCTTTCCACGCCTGTCTTACCCAGATGTTCTTCACACACCTGAGCTTCATTGCAGAGTCGACCATTCTGATGGCCATGGTGTTTGACCAGTACGTGGCCATCTGCAACCCCCTGCGATATGCCACAGTGTTCACGCACTCGGTGATAGCCAAGATAGGGCTGGCTGGAATAGCCAAGAGCTTTTGTGTGATGTTCCCAACAATATTCCTCCTTCAGAGGCTGCCATGCTGTGGACACAGCATCATGCCACACACCTACTGTGAGCACCTGTGCCGACATCTCTGTTAACATCTGGTACGGCTTTGCCACCACCCTTCTGTCCCCAGGCCTGGATATTGTGCTCATTGGGGTATCGTACGTCCTCATTCTCCAGGCTGTCTTCAGGCTCTCATCCAAGGATGCCCAGCTCAAGGCAGTTGGCACCTGCAGCTCTCATGCCTTCATTATATTAATGTTCTACACACCAGCATTTTTCTCATTTTTCACTCATTGGTTTGGCCACAACATCCCCCATCGTGTTCACATCCTGTTGGCCAATCTCTATGTGCTCCTGCCACCTATGCTAAACCCCATCATCTATGCTATGAAAAACAAACTAATTCGAGAAAAGGTGTCCCAGGTACTCTTCAGGACTGGGCAAGTGCAGTGACAGGGATGCTTTTCCTTTGAAAGGAAAGCACAGAGAAATGCTCTGGACCAAAGAAGCAGGGCATATGCATGTGAAATAACACAGTTTCCTACCTTTTTTAGACTCAGCCCAACATCACTGCTGATCAGATTTCCTGCTAGATGTTTCCTCAGACTAAATTGCAACACTAATGAAAAAGGAGAAGTTAGTGGGGAACCACAGACCAGAATTTGGGCTGATGCAATCTGGTGTTATACCATTACCATCAGAGCTTTATCGATAGGTTTGGTTGGACCTACATGGTGATGAGATGCATGTTTTCTGCTTGGACTCTGCCACGGCCAGCTCCCCATTCAGTGCATGTTTCTGTATCTTGTATTTCCATGTTTTCAGAAAATATCAAACATTTTCCTAGGTATAAGCTGAGAAAAACATATTGTATTGTATTAAATGCAGGAACTACTGTTCAAGTTTCTCTGACCTCTTCAGTGCAAGCTAGATAAACATAATCAATCATTTCAATTTCCTACTGCCAAGAGTCAGCGCTGCTGCCTCTGCATCACTGAATTTTTGCTAATTTGTAATGGTTGGAGATCTGCCCCCAAATGAGATCTTTTTCAGGAAAACAAAACCAAACCCAGAAGTTTTTATAAGTGGGGTGAATCATTACAAAATGGTTTGTGGCTCAAAGTTCTGCATCTTCCCAAGAGCCACATTCAAGACCACACAGGTGAGCAGGTCACTCCCCGTGCAATGGCAGCATTGATGTCTGTCCTCCCCTGCTCTGCATCCCATGTAGCTCATGATGCTGAGCAGTGGCTTAAGCTGCCCCTCCAGACCCTTCCCTCCTGCCTGCCACTGGCGGGATCTCCCTTCTCCAGTGACCTGGTTGTTCTCATTAAACCTGGAAGCTCTTGATATCCCCATGATTGTTCTGTCTCTGTCAGACTTGGTAGAAAATAACCAGAAAATTAAGAGTTTATGTGGAAGCTGACAGACAGACACAGATGCATGCACCTTGTTTTCTTTGATTTACACAGGAAGGTGAATCAGATGTAAAAAAATATGAAAACTGGAAGAAAGAGGAGATTGATAGGGATTGGTATGAATACTAATGTAGGAAGTGTGGGAAATTCATACAGGGTTGTTTGGGTTTTTTTCACACAGAAAAATCCATAACCAGGAGAAAGAAGGACTTTAAGAGAGTTGTTTTCTAAGCAATAACTGAAAAAAGAGAATTAAGAAATTACTCAGTCACCATATGGACAGTGAAACTGTCAGTCAGGGTGGAAATGCTCAGGAAATGTTTGGCTTGAGGAAAAAGCCAGGTGCTAAAGCTTTACCATGTGCAAATGATGAAATATTCTCCCTCCAGGAGTCTCAAAGAAGACATTAAAACAATAAATACAGGAACTTTCTCAGATCTGTGGCTGCAGATGATTGCTGTTTAAGAATTTGAAAAGATCTTGGTGATTTTGCTGCCATGCAATGTGTACACATTTCTACTTGCAGGATGACCCACACAGTCAGTCCACAGCTCCATCACTGCAGGGACCAGCCAGAGCCAGCCAGGGGCTTTGCCACTGGGACGTGGTCCTTACCTGTCCCAAACCCCAGGACCCCAATGCTGCCAAGGGACAAGGATCACTCACACATGACTGAGTGCAGGCTCGTGTCAGAAAGAATACTTGCTTTCCTGCTCAGCAGGTCCCCCTGGTCCCTGTTGGTTTCTGATTTGATTGCAATATTGCTAAGCAGAGACATTGTCCAACAAGCAAAAAAAAAGGAAAAAAACCCAGTATAAATTCCTCCTATTTGTGGGGCAGGAGCTGAAGCAGAGAATTACAGAGAAGTGCATCATGTCTGCAGGTAACGGGAGAGCTTCTGGGAAAGAGGGCAGCTCTGGCAACTTTCTGGAGGAGCTGCAGCCTGGGGCTGGGTAGGTGGAAAGGAGAAGATGGACCAGTGGGTCACAGGGCTAGGAGAAGCAGCTGGAGCAGAGTGTTGGGAGGGGAAGGTGGGAAGCCCACACGTGGGACTACCAAGCATTCCTGGGCAGCCCAGATTTCCCAGAGACATTTTTGAAGCTCTGCTGGGATGGGGAAGGGCTGGGGCCAGATCCCACTTTAGTCTGGAAGTCTCTTCCACTTGTGGACCAGAAAATCCTTCATTTCACCATCCCCAACAGAAGCAGATACAAGAAACTCCCCATCGGTATGGTAATGAGAAATCTCATGGTCCTAGGACAAGCAGCATTGGTCACGCAAGGCAGGGCCATGTGATGAGTAGGGCTAGAACACAGCAGGGACTCAGGGTGATAAAACAACTCTCTGAAATTCATCAGTCCATGAGGATCAGCGAGAGACCTCTGTGTGTTAATCCACCTCTGCCTTCAGCATCCAGTGTGAAACAAATGAAAATGCCTCTGAGCAACCAGAGCCAGAGGAATTCCTCTTTCCCTCGAAGGCATGCAATTAGTAGACCACTAATGCTCTTCAAGGATGGGTCTTGACCATGTATGTCTTGTCCTTACTACTATCTCTGTCCCACAAAGCTGTGCATCAGCTCATCCTTTCAGGGTCTTCAAGGAAAAAACAGTGTGAAGTATGGTTCAGCCTTCCCATGGCACATTCCAGGAGATGGCAGATGCAGAGCCTTTGCTCAGAAAGGTGTCTGGAGGCAAAACTTGTTGAGCTCACACCATAGCATAATGGGTATTAAATACTGGTGAAATGGGACATTTGAGTGCCAGGCAGAAAAAAGAACTCCTCTCTGCTCCAAATCCTGTTTGTTTGTTTACATGGAAATAGAAATACATGATAAATTCATGGCTTAATCATACAGGCATTACTAAGAAAGGAAACACCCCAGTTCTCTCTGTTCGTGGGCTGACAGCCCATCCTGCACACAGGTAGCAGGGTTTGACATGCCCTGGGAACACTGGGCTCACAGTGCAGACATATACTTGTACTTTTGTGCATGAAACCCCAGGGAGACCTATGGCAAACCCATCCTCATGGTGGGTCTCACAGCTTACCCAGTCTGTCTGAGATGATTCATCCAGCGGGAATCCCACCTCGAGGACCTCCCTTGTCAGCTCCTCTGCAGACCCACAGACCTGGTTCTTAAAACTGCCTATCTCGTGATAGCCTGCATTTGCTTTTGCTGGTTAATCTTTAACTCTCCTTTATACCCACTGAGAATAACTGTTCTTACTGATAACCCCTTTCTGATCCTTGTGATGGCTGTGTTCCCTAATTAACTGATACAAATTGCTGATATTCCTAGCATAGTATTGGTGGATATATCCAGTAGTCTGCTGCAACATTTTAAACTTTATTGAAGTATTTATTCTTTCCTTTTTTTTTTACCAAAGAAAGCTGACAGAACATCATTTTCCATTAGACATTATTGTAAGAGGAAAATCAATAGAGAAAATTATGTTTGGTTAAAATATTTACGCAATTACGTCACTCAGTTATATGCATTTCTTCTACTTAATATCTTATGTGTGCAATGCAAGAAGCCGCATCTGACCATAAAAATGGCACATTTTTTAACTGGGATTTTATTGCTCAAGTCTGAGCAGTTATTCAAGTTGGCACCAGGTGATGAGTTTGCCCTTAAACTTTTAACCTAATTCTCATTGCCTTTCTGAGCTGTGTGACTCCTCTGCCACCTGCAAGGCTTTACTCACCCATGCAATCATGGTCAGACCACTCAGCTCTGATGCAGCTCACAGCATGACTGTGGAGTCACATCTGGCTTCTTGAAGCTTTCTGGTGGTTCGGGTACAGATCTGTTTGGTTTTCACACTGTACACGATCAGGCTCATCATGGTGGGACCAGCAAGCAGATGTTAGCGATGAGGATGTGAGCAGTGGGAGAAGCACTTTTTTCCAGACTTGTGAATCATGGACAGACTGATCACTGTGATGTCAAAGATTAGGATAGCACAGACGTGGGAAGTGCAAGTGTTCAAGGCCCTGGACTGCTCCTTCTTGGATGCAATACTCAAGACAGTCTTAAGGATCATGATGTACAACAGAACAAGTAACAGTGAGTCTAAAGCCATTGAGGAAAGAGCAAACACTTGAGCCATAAATGCCGCAGTCTCATAAATGTCACATAAATGTGACTGAGCCACCCTGATGATATCCTGGTGTAGACAAGAAAGCGTGCAAGAGACCATTTACTCAGCAATATTGCAGCACCTTCAGAAGAAAGGAGGCCAGGAACACCAGAAATACCACCTGGATGGTCAACCCCACACCAGTCTTGGTGCCACTGAGATTGTCAGGAGCGATGTATGCTTCAGGGGCTGCAGATCACAGCAGAGGTCAAAAGCCACAGCCATCAGCACAGCATATTCGATGGTGGAGGTGTGGATGAAATACATCTAGTTGAGGTATGCATCAAAGTGGATGGCTTGGTAATAAAACCCACACAGCCCAGGCTCCAGCATCTCCAGCCTGCCCCTGTCTGCTGTACTGGGAGACCCAAACTGGACCTAGTGCCCAGATCTGGTCTCAGCAGTGCTGAACTGTTGGGGAACCGCTGCCCTGCAGAGCCTGCGTGCCCCAGCACCCCCAAAGACCCACCACTGGCCACCTCTGCTGCAAGGTCTCCTGGTGATGTTGGGGTAACTTGTACCCACCGGGACCCCAGGCCCTTTTCCACAGATCTCCTTTCTAGCCAGACAGTCCCCATCTAGAATAAAAGCACACATTAAAACGAAATTTAAACCAAAATCTGTGGGACAAATCTATTCAGACCCAAGGCCCCCTGTGGCAACAGCACACTACGTCCTCAAGCACTGCTTTTATTTGTGCTAATTATCATTAATAATAACAACTGACTGTTATGACTCAGTTGTATATTTGAACTCTGTGGGATTTACTTTCTAGAAACCTCACATTTCATAATCCCTGAACCATTCTGATTTCAGTAAGATTATCAATTCACAACCACTTGTATTTACAATCCTACTATCTCAGCCGTCCCAAATAGCTTTGATGCCCACTTACAGCCTCCTCTTCAGGAGCTGTGATCAGCGTAAGTCACAGCTAGCAACCCTCTCATAGAAATACCTCCCCCACTTCAGTTGGGAGTCCCTCTGTTACATATAGTAAAGTGATTTTTTTTTTTTTTTCTTTTCTGGAATTTCCCATGGAAGAACAAAAAAAAAAAGTCTCCTGCTAGGCTTGATTGTCAATCTCGAAAGCCTTTTTGTCAGAAGTGTGATATCCATACTTCCCAGAGACAGACAGAGATAACCATTCATAAAACACCTCGCATTTCTAGCAGCACTCACAAAATTAATACAGCCAGCTGCTGTATTTTTCACCAAATCATACAGTTTACACCTGAAGGGGAGCTGAAATCTAAATACTCAGAGTTGAGTTTATCTTACAATTCATGAGAAAGTAAAAATGGAAAGGCTCAAGAGGCCAAATTGGTCAGTGATCAGATCACATCTCTCGTACAGCAATCGCACACGTCCCACAGGCAACCTGGCTCTGGATGCATCCCCACACAATGTCCCTTCTCTCAGTACCACATCACCCATGACTGCTCTTCAGTTTATAAACACCACTATAAACTCTCCAGTCTTTTCTGCTATCTACTTGTGTTTTTCCCATCCTGAATGTGAATTTTATTCTATTTGTGGTTTGGTTTTGGTTTTTTTTCTGACCATTCCTTCAGTTTTTCAGAATTACCCTGGGCACTAATATTTCTTTTTTCTGTGCTTCTGGAGAGGCTGTGGATTTAATAAGTATTTCTTTGCTCTCCTACCCAGGCTAATATAAGGTCCAGGATGCTCATTTAGATTCTCATTTCATCTTTCTTCGCAGCAGCACAAGAAATGGGATTTGAAACTTCCCCATAATGGTTCAAGCTCAGCAATATTCTCTGGCTCGTTTATGAAAATACTATATCATATGCATGCTAATTCATCTCAAAAATTAAGAGAGATATTCTTTTCCCCTATGTACAAACTTCGTTACCCTTCCACACAAGAGAAACGATCTGATTGATGCAGTTTGTATCTGATAAATCCATAAAAGTTTCTGATTGTCTCATTATTTGCCAAAAATCATTATTTGATCATTCATTTATGTATAAATTTTCTAAGGATTGTGACTAAATTTTAATCTACAGTCTAGGTGCAAGGGTACAAACATCTGAGGGAGTCCCTAGCCGGTGAATTGCTGGCAGCTGGGAGGTTTTTCCAGCAGCATCATGAAGTTTGGTGGTATGAGGACCTGCGCCCTGTCCCCAGGGCGAGTGGTGCAGCCCAGACTCCTCCGGGCTGTTAAACTGTGCACGACTCCAAAGATAGTGACCATGACCAGCCCCCCAGCCAAAGATGCCCCGAGATGGTCCCCACAGCTCCACACATCCGACACCTGGGCTCCAGCCCCTGCCCAGGGCAGTTTGCTTGTACAGACTTCGCTTGTGCTGGCCCCCTTCCTGTACTTTCCTACTGGCTGCTATTAGAGTGTTCAGACCTCCTTTTTTTTCCAATTTTAAAGACTTTTTTCCTCCACCTTTTTCCATGTTTCTGCTCTTTCCTCCCTCCATCCCCCTGATATCTGAACAGCAGTGATGAGATAAAATTGCTTTCTTTAGTAATACTTGAGGCCAAGATGAGGCCAGTCATCAACCTCAGTATATTACTGTGAAATAGAAATGGGACCATTGCCTTTAGCAGAGTTTCTCCAGATTCATGCTAGCTTCACTGAAGAATATCAGGGTCTAAATTCAAATAAGGGAGGACAGGCTATGTATGTCACTTCAGGTCCCACCATGCACAAATGAGAGAGTGCACCCCAAACTCTTAGAGTAATTGGAAAAAGTTTCAAGAGCAATATATTACTTAGTTTTCTATTGATGACTAAGAGCAAAGTGAAGAATCTGAAAGACAAGACCCATCAATAGAGTGATTTTTAAGCAAACATCTGGATAGATGGATGCCTAGACAGATGTTTTCTTACACAAGAAAATGGAGCATCTGCTGTGGCCAGTGCAGCAGAATCAAAGCATTCTGCTTGTCATGATCTTTGTGTAGCACTAAAAATCCCTTAAATGCATTTTATATGAGAGGTGTATGGGCTCCTGAGGGAGGATTTATCATGGAGCCTGGCGATCCCCGTAGTGATTTACTCAGCTGGGAGTCTCAGCTGATATTTATCTCTTTAAACTGCAGATCACCTTTAACATTGCACAAGCAGTGAAACACTCCTGTGTGTTTATTCAGTCTAGAACAGTCTTTGCCTGTTTCAACTTCTGTGCTTAATTTACTTTCAGTATCTCAGATTGTAAAAGACAGAAATGGAAGAATTCACTACAACAGACTGCCGGTGGTTCACAAGTATGCTCCTGCTGAAGGGGGGGGCTGTGGCAAGGCAAGCCAGGCACTGGCCCTGTTTAAACAGAATAGCAAACATTGTTATACACTTACACATCTTCCCAATACAAACCTCCCACGGTAACAGCATCAATAACTAGTAAATCCAAGGAGTGCAGACTTCACATCTTCTGAGCCTTTTATATACATATATGGAAATGTAGTACTCAGATCACCACCAAAAATTCTATTCTTTATGGTATTTACAGATACAGCCCTTCTGCTGGACCTTGGATCACCACCACAGAGGCCAGGTTCCACTCTTAAAGCCACAGATATAAACTATTTGGCCTCTATATTTGCGGTTTACGGCAAGCAGACTGCTCCTGCCCGCACATCAGGAGGTTGCTTTGCTGCACGCACGAGCTCTCTTCCCCATGCCCCCTCCATCCCCTGGGGTGGATATCCACCAGCCTCCCTCCTCCTGCCTTTTGGGGGAACCAGCAACTGGCCAAATACTGGGGTCTCCAAACATTTGCTTCCCAAGTTAAGATCAAAGCAATCTTTAAATCCAAATACAGGTTGAGTAGAACTACGCTGAGATGAGCGCCTGGGTCTGTTGCCCCCTTCCTGCCCCATGGTGGGCTGTCAGCACTCCGCGGGCTGAACACCTTGCTCCAGAGGGGTCCCCGAGCTGGTCCCACAACTGTCCCATGCTCCCAAGGTGCAGCAGGCAGCTGGACCCCATCACGGCATATAGCATTAACAGCCCAAGTGACCCACAGTGACCGAGATGGGACAGAGTACATCTTAAGTTGTCTAAAAGGGAGAGGGACAGACACAGGGCTGCAGGCTGTGCCTGGGAAGGACGCATAGATTGCAGATCCAGATGCCAGGCTTTGGCCACTTGCTGCAACATCTGTATGGGGATTTGCACAGCTGTCCCATGGGCCAGGCTAGGTGTCTAGTGTGGGAGACTGGATCAGCCACGAGGGTACTGGTCACCCAGTACCTCTGCTGGAGGAGCCCCCCCCCCAGTTCGGTGGCACTGGAAGGAGGGAGAGGATCAGAGCTGCTGGACTCGTCACGCTCCTCAACCTCCTGCTCTGCCAGTCTGACACTCACCACTGCCACGCCATGCTGACGGCTCACATGGGGATCAGCACCAGCCTGACCACAGCCATCCCCTGCGCCTGCCTGTCTTTCTGCAGCCAGCACTGAGAAAAGCAAAGGTGGAGAACTCAGTGCTGCACATGTCCCCAGGGAGGTGGATGGGTCTTGCACCACAGGAGACTTCCCCAGGCCCTGCTCACCCCTGCCATCCTTTGCTGATGGCTCTGGGGCAGTGAGACAGGTAGACATGCTCCTTTTTGTGCATGTTGGGGTGTGGAAAGAAGATGAGGCAGAGCCTGTCCAGGGGGGGAGGGAGGAATGTTTCTGCCATTGCATTTCAACAGGTAATCACCTTGTGTTCAAAGCAAACAGAAAACATCCAGCTCTAGCGGTTGGCAGGCACTGCAGTGTTTCAGCACGCAGCCCCACAGCCACACCAGTGCCTGCAAACTCAGCGCATTCAGGGTGGAGAAGGATCCCAGTCACGCATGAGTTACAGACACCAAAGGGTCTGCACAGTCACATCCCACTGCACTCCCAGATCACTTGGACACAGCACTGAGCCAGGCTCTTGGGGTGGCCGGTTGCTGATTTAGGCAGCTGCTGCACTGAAGATTTCTCCTACAGCTCCTGCCTTGGTGATGGTTAATAAAGACACAGCATCCCTCCTGCACTGACAATGCACATCTGTCCCCGAGGGTAGGATCCCAGTGGTGGTCTCTGTCAACAGCCCTTCATACCACCAAGGATGAGCAGAAAAAGCTTTACTGGGTTGGAGCTGGGACCACTGGGGAGGACAGTGTGGCACCCTGGGAGGGCTCCTCAGCCAGCTCCTGGGACATGGCCAGAGACCGCAGGGCAACTGTGTCCTCCAGAGCCGCCCACCCGTGTGCACCAGGGTCTGGAGGATGGAGAGCCCAGAGCTCCCCAGGAGCGGTGGGGGCACACATCTGCCCTGCAGCCCCAAAGGCAGCTGTCCCAAACAAACATGGGAAAACGAAGGAAACCTCACCTCATCTCAGGGCTGGATTTCATGGCAACCAGCAGAACGCCATAAAAGTGAAAACTCCCGATTCCACTGGATGCTAAAAACAGGCATTAAACAGAAATGTGAGATATGTGCCATAAATCTCAGAGCCATTCTTCTTAAGCTATATTTAGCTGTGAAGATTGCTACCCTTCAGACTGGAAGAACAGCTTGCAAGTTTGAAAGATTTTTATAGTTTTTCTGACTGTAAGTTCATCTAGTAAGAGACAGCACCTCTCACCACAAACTATATTTGTCTGACATATTTGCAGCTACATACTTACAGTAGCTATGTATTTATATTTTTGTAGCTACAACACACACTACCTCTGCTAGCTCTTCCCTCAGTTTCTGCAGTCTTGACTGGTACAGCTGCCAGCCGTCCTGCCCATAGTCTCCTCATGGCCCCAGATTATTTCTCAGGGACTTATGTCCAGCAGTTTGCTTTGCACTTACTGGAGCAGGATGCTTTGGCTGGCATCAAGGATAAAGCCTGTTGACTGATGCTCAGGAAAGAGTCAGATGTGTTTCACATTCATTTCAGTTAAGGACTGTTAGTGAGGGAAGGGATGTGCATCTTTTATTTCTCAAATTCCTCCTCGCTTGGGATGTGTGGCCTTCTTGTGCAACAGGATTGAAGACCTGAGCAAAAGGAGGAGGTGAGGTTTCAAATCTTGTTCGCAATTCTGCCCAAAGATGCAGGGATTTCATTTTGCTTTAAAACGCTGTGCTGAAAAATACTATTAATCAGTATACAGGCTTTTCTTGGTGCATATGTTTTTTAAACAGCTAAAAGTGTCTAACAATGAGTTAGAACTATTTAAAAAAAATAAGTATTGGTAGAAAAAGACAGTATGGCTGAAGAATAAGACCTCAGATTGAAATGAGGACATATGTGATGGTGAAAGCATTTCCAGTGGGCAGTGATGCTTTGTCCCTCGTGATTTTATCAAGTGAATAATTTTTCAATAAAGTGTAATGAAAAAGTCCATGTATTATTCAAAATGTTGTACTGCCATTTCAATGTGGCTTTAATAAGTGAACAAAGTATAGCAATCGGGTATTTCTCCTTCTCAAATGTGAGCTAGGGGTCACAGCCCCACACAACAGAGACACACTGACCTCTTCCTCCATGCCCTTGGCCCCCCCAAGGATAATGGTTTCTGTCTCCGGTCCATACCAAAAAACACAGGCTGGGAAAATAGGGACCTTCAGAGTCCAGGCAGGGTACCAAAGTCAGACAGGAGGTTCCTTGTCCTGGTGAGGCTCCTGCTATTTCAAGGAAAGAAGAAACACCAATCTGTATCTGTGGGCATGAGGAAACTCCTCGTTGAGTTCGCAGCAGCAGGGGAAAGGAGCAATGATACATGATCATTGTTGTGTCAGGGGTTGCACAAGAAACTCAAGGGACCCTTAAATCTGAAATTCTCTCCAAAATGAGCTGCAAGATGCAGGGGTGATACAGAAAGTGCTTTACGCAGCCCTGAACCACCATCACCCTGAGACAGGCAGAATGGAGAATCAGAGCAAGGTGCCCTCAGAAGCATTGTCTGACACACAGGTTTCCCTTGTGCTTTGAGCCTTTGCACATTGAACAGAGCAGGTCTGCTAATTTTTTTTTTTTTTTTTTTTTTTACACCTAAGGGCTAGTGCCCATTTGCATGCAAGATGGCATTTTAACATTGCCTGTTGGCAAATCCAAAATGGCTTTAGGATTTACCTTTCAAGGTAAAACATGGTGTGGTTTTTAACCGTGACTATAACTCACCGCTGGAACAAGTGACAACAGATGGTAGTGAATGCTCTCCCTGAAGGCGTTTCATCCAGAGCCTTCCTAAAAGATCTCTGTGCCACAAAATAGTTTGTGTGGAACACAGAGTCTTTGAGGGAAATGTTAGAGCTGAGGTAACAGATGACATCAGACCCATCCTTTCAGCTGTCTTTAAAAGCTGCGTCCTGCAAGTCAGAAAGAAAAAGCATATCTAATACAGAGGAAAAGGAACAGAAAGAGGGGAGATTGCTGGAAAACGCCTACCCTGGGAACCCTCCCAGCCCTGACTCTTCTGAAGCTCACAGTGGATGTGTTATTGATAGGAAAAGTTTCCTGATTCCATTGGCTGAATTTTAGAGATAGTGATAGTGTTTTGCAGCTGGCTGCACACAAGCTACACAGTGTGTCTACCGCAGCTATGAAACACATACGATGATAAATATAGTTGTCTTCTACTCAGTAATTCAGTATTTCTAGAAGCCCTTTGCTATGGTTTGACACTGGGGGGCAGCTCAGCCCCACACACCCACTCGCTCATTCACCCCTTGATGGGATGGAGAGAGAGTCGGAAAGGTAAAAGTGCAAAAATTCATGAGTTGAGATAAAGACAATTTAATAGGTAAACTAAACCCACCTTCCTTCTTCCCCACTCTTTTATTGCTGAGCACATCCTATGGTCTGGGATATCTCTTCAGTCAGTTGGGGTCAGCTGTCCCAGCTGTGCCCCCTCCCAGCTCCTTGTGCACCCCAAGGCTATTCGCTGGTGGGGCAGCGTGAGGAGCAGAAAAGGCACTGAAGTTGAATGTCAGAAAGACAATGGCTACAGCAAAGCCATACCAGTTATTGAATGCAATGTCTGCACATCTGCTTGATCAGACAGCAGGCGATGGCAGCCTTCATAAGAGGCATCTGCACAGAGCAGCCAGACCAATCCTGCCTATCCTGGCACTGGTGAGGACAGAGGAGTATCTCAGCAGGTAGCAGATGGCCGCACAGTGATGAAAGGGCATGACCAGAAGCACAGAGGACTCCATGAAGGAGAAGGAATTAAAGTAAAGCTGAACAAAACAGGCTCTGAAACTTGAGAGAGACAAACCCAAATCAGTGATGGACAGGAAACAGCATACGAGCTCGTGGGAGCTCAGATCAGTCCCGATGACAGAGGATTGTGCAGTTCCCTACAAGTGATGCAATGTAGACGTGAGTAAAAGGGATAGAGAGCCAGACATGGGAAACCTCCAGCCCCCAGATGGCTGTTGGGCTGAACAGCATGAGAGGAATGAGAGAAATCGGTTCTGCTGCAAGATGACATGATGAGCTAAAGCACAAAAAGGCAAGGTAATCCTGTAACCAGTGAACCAAATAAAAAAGCATGAACTAGATGTGATCCAGTATCATAATCTGCCAAATCTAAGCAAACAGATATACGTTAGGCACTCTGGCTCTTTGAGAGTGCTGCAGTACAAGCTCTTATTTAAATGAGAGCTTGATGATACAGAAACATACCATTAAAGATGTAAACATTGCACTTCGCTGTGGCAAGAATAAATACCACATACCTACAAGCCCAGTAACTTCTTCATTTGCCTGTTACTGTGATAGATATCAACATGGAATGTTACTGTTGTTGTAAACATCATTAATCTAAGGAAAAGGGAGGAAAGTTTGCAGTTGTTCCCCAGATAAATAATGACTAATCAAATGTACTGGGTGAAGCAAAGCCATTTGTGCCGATTTTATGTGCATCCATGGCATTTCAGGGCTTCTGCTTTATGGAATTGAGAGACCTTGTGTCACTGATCCATGTTCTTACTCCAGAAATAAATAGGAGCTCTCTTTACATGAAGAATTTGGCAGTGCTGCCAAGTTGTCTAGACTCTGCCCTGGCTGCTTCCAGTCCTGCCGCTGGAAGAGATGCAGTTTCACACCAGCTGTGGCTTCGCTCTCCTCTCCTCCCACACAACACAGGCTCCAATGCATTGGTTTCAAGGAGCTCTGAGAACTCAGCTGAGGAACCACATCTCCAGGTGCTGATATATCACCCACCCCTCCCTTGCCTAAACACAGCCAGGGAATATACTCCAAGTCTTTACACAGATTGCCCATACTTTACAACAGACGCTTGGAGAAACAGCTGACAGGAGAGCTGTATTGCTTTTATAAATATGTAGTGCATCCACACTGGGACAGCACAGAAATGCTCCATGTTCGTTTTATCCATGGAGAATTTCCTAAGCACCCGGAAGGTGCACAGGACTTCTAATCTGAATATCTTTCAAAGAGCAGTAAAGCATAATGAGACATCACAATATAAATCTGAATAATTCATACTAGACATGAGGTTCTGATTTTATGCTGGGCAGGTAAAACTGACTTGAGAGGATTTGCCATTGTAGTTGGGAAGCAGGTTTCTGAAAACACAGCATGCTTTGAGGTAGCAGGGGAGACACAAGAAGTTTTAGCTGCTGAAGGCAGAAAAGTTTGGTAGCTCAATTAAAACCAGGAGCACATTTTTAGTCATGATTTTTGCATCATCCACTGCCTGTTACCAATGTACTAACACAAGGCTTCAGCCCAGGGTCTCTTACCTGAGTTGAAGTCTGAGTGCTGTCTCTTGGTGCACATGAAATGCTGTGGAGCACAACAGGAGACTGCAAAGCAGGGCCAGGGTTTGCAAGTTGAACCTTTTGTTTCCGTCCCTGCTCAGCAGCTCCATGGTTAGCACTCAGAAGGATTTAAAAGAAAAAATGCAAACTGACAAGACACAGGAACAACCCCTGCCATTCTTCAGTGCACATCCAGATAACATCATCATGCTAACACAAATGTACTGCAGAAGAGTCAAAATAGAGACCCCATAGCCCAGTACCACAGCAGGGCCACTGCTGGCCACAGGCTTTGTACTGAGTTTGCAAGGTCTTAGGAACGAGGCATGCCAGGTTTGCTCTCTTTGAACTTGTCCTGACCTGTCTGGAATTATGTTTTACCAGATTTAGCACTAATGGCAATTTTTATTATGGCTATGGCTTTTGCTTACCATTGTATAATACAACCACAGTTTCAGTTTTATGCAGACAGTAGCAAAAAGTAGCTATTCTGTGCTGAAGGACACACATTTATAACTTCAACATAATGGTATAGTGCTGAGAAATACATATCTGGCAGGATGGCAGGGGCCTTGAGAAGTGGGAACACAGGATGTGGCAGAGGAGTGCAGGCATGAGGTGATAAGAGTGGGGCACAGGCTGATACTGGGGACCTCATGGCTATAAACAATTCAGGGATGGTCAGTTAAAGAAATGCAAGCTCAGAGCTGGACAAAAATGGTTTTGAGGTGACAAAGAGAACAAATAAGTATCTACTGCATAAAATGCACCATATTTAGGAAATCTGCATGTATCATGGACTTGGAGACCAATGAAGAGAAAGAAAGGTGTAAAAACACGTTATCAAACATAAAAAAAAGACACAAAATGGACCTAGAGTGAGGAAGAAGCCATGAATATCAATATCATATTCCCTGTAAAGGACTCCAGATTTTGATAACTTGATGTAACATCCACCACCACCACCACACTGAAGTCACCAACCTTAGGACCTAGAGGAACAGTGACAGGGTGAGCACGACCGCAGGGAAAAGGCAGAAATTGGGAAGTGTATGTATAACAATCTTATTTTTTTTTATAATTATTATTACTACTACCACCACACTACTCCTTCCATAGAGAAATATTAATTTTTCTTTTTTCTGTAATAAGTGGATCTGGACTAACAATGATTCATTTATTAGCCTGTTTTCAATGACACTAACAATGAATTCTTGGCTTTATACATAAAGTGCATTTGCTTCTTGCCCATAAGTGAGATTCTGATCATAACACACAAGACCCTTCGCAGCAGTGGGAAGCCACATGGGACACCATCAAGCATCTCCAATGAGATCTTCTCCAGTGGCACTAAGCAACAATGTGTAGGCAAGTGCATTAAGCTCCTGGGTAATGCAGACCCTGGGGTGCCAAGAGGCACTCAGCAGACCCTAACGCAGTTACCCAGCAGCTGCTCACCCAAATCTGACCCCAGGGAAGAAGCATCCAAAGCAACTCCATCCCACACCCTGGAGATAGGCTGCACAAGGCAAGTCAGCTGGATGGAGCAAATGCAGATGCACCCAGCCACCCACCCACCCATCCATCCCATTAAGTATGAGGATATGAGCAGCACTACAGTGAGAGGGAGAGAGTTTCCCCATTTTCTGCACTGTCATGTGTACAGGTAACCCCTGCAAGGACAAGGTCTACCCATTCACATGGGACACCTTAAATGGCTTTCTGCAGAGATCGAGGGATCTGCACAGCCACGAACACGGTATCTGCATGGGAAAAGGTTGCAGAAAACGTAATGAAGGGCTGAATCCATAGGCACATAGATTATGGCATATGGGGAAAGGGTCAGTATGGCTCTTCTAACATACAGACAAGACTCCCTAACATATTGCATGTCTTCCAAGGGCTGGAAAGGATTCTGGCTGGGGCGGATCCAGGTGATAAGAGTCTACCTGGATTCCCAAGGGCTCAGAGCAAGGTCCTCACCAAAGGTCATCAAATAAGCCGCCATGAAATGAGAGTAAAGTTCCACACACCACTCAATAATTGAATCATAAACTAAAGGTGCATGGCTATCCTTTACAGTGAACCCCTACAGGAATCTGTACTGGGATTTCTGCTTTTCAACAAATTTTGTCTGGGAAAGGGAGGGGAAAACAGCAAGGCAACCAAGTTTCTGATCATATTAAATTACTCCAGGAACAGGAGGACCAGCTGCGAAAATCTGCAGAAGACCCTGAGAAGAATGAGTCACTGAACAATAAAACAACAGATTAAAAAAAAAAAGCAGTTGAGATAAACATACAGTGATGCACTTGGGGAAAAATTGAACACTTCAGATAGAAAATGACAGGCTGGCGGCTAACAATTATCTCTCAGGAACAAGCTGTCACAGTTACCATAGTGTTACAACAACACAGCTCAGTGATCAGCCGTTCCAAAACCAAACTAGATATTAGAAATTCCTAGGCAAAGACCAGAAAACAAGGCCAGGACAGCGTTGTGCATCCGAAATACTGCCACAGTCCTGATGCCTCGGGGAGCAAAACACTTGTCACGGGAAATGAGCGAGCAGACCATGGCTTTCAGTTGGAAAGAGGCAATGGAGGGGAGATATGATAGAGGTGGCAAAGGCTCACAGATGAGTAGGGGAAGATCTGCTCACTGTCACTTCCAGTACAAGAGCTAGAAGCATGAGAAATTAAAACAGCACACAACTGGTTCAGAACAAACACACAGAGGTCATTATTCATGCAGCATATCATTAGACTGTGGAAATCGCTAAAGCGGAGTCTCCTAGAGCCTCATGTGTTCATGCATCAAATTTAGGAAAATTAGCTCCTTCGGCAAGTGGGTTCATCACCAAAACAGTGCTGTGATTGAAGGAAAGAGCAGAAGAGCCCCAAAGCCTGTGCTGTTCCAGGAGGAAGAGTCTGCCCCTTTGCTGAGGGTGAGGGATTTCCAGGAGGTCTTGTGAGCAAATCCTAGCTTTTAGCTTCAATTATTTTTCTCAGGTTTTTGCACCAAGGTGCCCTGTTTCCCCTTGTCACACCCCAATTTCTCAGGACGATGACTCAGGTTTGCTGATTCCCAGGTCAGGATTAAGGTGAAACGACCCCAGGGATCCTTTAACTCACAAAACTCAACTTTTATTTGCTCACAACAACTAGCATGCTCACCACAAAAATTGGCACGAAACTATGCCAGTAAACTGTGTAACACGTGCTAATCATACATCACCAAACGTATACTACAGGCCTTGCTTATTTTTGGGTCAGTTCAGGGAAGACAATAAGGCAAGCCCTCCCGTTGGGTCAGGAGGTTCAGAGAAGCCCCCCCCGCTTTCTAGACTCCTTCTCAGAGAGGAGCCCAGGGGCGGCTGGGTCCGCTCCCAGGCCCAGACTTGGTCAACGGTTTACGTCTAAAGGGACAAGGGGTAGGGATTACGAAAGAGCAAAGAGGGAAAAAAAAAGATTTCACCAGTCCCGGGTCCAGCATTAGTCCACTGGGCTTGCACACATGGGGCTTCAGTTCGTGCCCTTTTACCATCCTTGCCCCTCCTTCGGGCGGGCACTCGAACTCATTAGGCTAATTAGGTGTCCTGAGCAGTTTGGGCTGGGGGGTCGTTTGGGGAGTAACTTCCCCTGCCCTGCAGACGTGACCAGTGTGCTCTTTGGCCGTGCATGGTGAGCTGCCCTGCTCAGCACATCAGTCCGGCACATCGGAGCAGGGAGCTGCGCTCCCCCCGGCACGGCCTCCCCCGCCCGTTGCTGATGGGCTGCCTTTCACCTGGGGTGCCTTTCACCTGGGGTGCCTTGCTAGGCAGGGTTCCTTGTTATGCAGAGTGCGTCGTTAAGCAGCACTTGACCCACCACAATGTTTGAGACATTAACTCCTTCAGTCCCTCGCACCCCTCATCAGCTAGCATTTATTTTTTGTGTTGGGAGTTATTATTCTTACTTCCGAGACAATAGCACTTATTCCTGCATGCCATTTTTCTTCGTGATGAGCCTTAGCCCTTTTGTATTTCTTCTTGGTGCATGGCAGAATCCTGGATCTGCCCCTCCCTCGGTTTTTTGTCTCATGCAATGGTGCACATCAAAACTGCCTGGTGTAAGGCGAGCAGAGGAAAAAGGGCTTGTTAAGAATGGCCAGGGCTGGTAAGAGACCTGCCTTTTGAAAAAAACCCACTAGATTGTTTCCCAGGCAAGAGGGTGGTGCCTGTGAAAGAGGCTGGACAAGCTGGTTGTCACCAAAACAGCTGCTTCTAAGGTAGTAAATGCTGGCAGAAGTTACACCTCATTAAATACACTAGGAGGGTACTGTCAAATGCCAGCACCTGTGTTAGAAGGCGGTCCTATTAAAGCTGACCCCAGGAGGTTCCTGTGCTGAGTGTTTTTAGGGTGTTGCAAAGGGTTTAGAGGCTGTCTAGGCTGGTAAGGTTGATCTGTTTTTTCTTTTTAGGGTTTTTTGTTGGTTATGTATATATATAGTTATGATACAAGTTAGTTACTTCCTAGTCCTTAGATTTATGTGTCTGCTTCCTTAGGTCTGTAATTACTGTCTTTTCTGTTGTTGTATGCTATTTTAATGCTGTAAATAGTTTGTCTTGCTCCTCTGTTTTGCAAAGTGCTTCTTAAAAGGCTATTGTTTTAGACCCTTATACTGAATTGATAAGGAATGTGAGGGAGTACTGTGGTGTGTTTATTGTTTGGGTTTGGGGGTTTTCTTGTTTGTTTGAGGACTTTTTTTTTTTCTAGTAAATTACTATAAAAGTTCTATCAGCCCCCAGGTGGGCAGAAGAGACTAAAGCATGATTATGTGAGGTGTCTTTTATTGCTCATGTCAGGTCACCTCGGGGGTGGGTCTTCAAAGGCCCAGATGCAGATAAACCAAAGAAAATGCCTTCCTCTCTTAACATGCTCCTGAAAGCAAGGTGGGCCTCCTGCAGTTCATGGTCTGCCCAAGATGTTAGTGTGCTAGTCCATTTAACTACCTTCTCTGGCTACCATTTAACTACCACTGGCTAAAGAGATCCCTTAACTAGCAATGCCTACCTGCAGAAGGTTTGGGAGCTGAAAGCTCTGCACTGAAACAGTTGGGTGGCTTAATGCAAAAGGACCTTAATTTGAATGGGTCTCGCACAGTATCCCTTTTCCAATCAGGGAAGTTTGAGGTTAACTGTTGAACAGCCCAGGCACTAAATAGGCTGTTTATTTCTGCGGCGTTGTCCAGAGCACATCGTGTAGCTGACCTTGCAGCCGTGCTTGTTGGGGCTGCACTTGCGTCCTTGGTGCTGTGAGTTGCTGATAATCTGCTTGCGTGTCCTCAGGAGTGCCTGGCCCCCACAGCACCTTGTTTACTGACACTTGTGGCAAAACCCTTCCTGTGCTGTTCCCTTTCTGTACAGCAACGTCACCTCCCAGGTCCCTGATCCAACTGGGCTGGCTGTGGGGATGGCAGTGGGGCAGGTACTGCTTGTGCTGTTGGCTGCCTGTGCAGTGATGCCTGTGAAGGACCCGTTGCTGAACATCTGTATGGATGCCAAACACCACAAAACCAAGCCTGGCCCAGAGGACATGCTGCATGACCAGGTATGACTGCTGATGGGTTAAGTGGGATTGTCAGGGTCCCCCGTAACTCCCTCCCCAGGTAATACAAGCTGGTTTGTGCTTTGGACTTAGCATCCACTTGCCTGAGGAAGAAAGCCTGTGCTGGGTATGAGGTCTGTCTATTTGATGTTTTCTTCTACCTAGCAAATGGCTAGGGAAGATGTGGTGGTGTGAGGATTTCTGTCAGCTGTGTCACCCCTCTTTTACCAGGAGGCTTCCTCTTTCCAAAGCTTAGTTAACCAGAACAGAACAAGATAAAGGATGTCAAGAAAAAATACTGTTTTCTGTTCCCTCTCCCAGTGCTAGAGCCTCTTCTTGCTAATTGACCCCAGGTCCTTGGTGGGGATGGGGCTAAGAGCAAGTCAGGGTGCAAAAGAAGGGAGTTTGTTCCTATTCCTCAGGTTGGCACTATTTCCTGGTGAGCATCTAACAGAGTCCTCCTCCTGCTCTTCTTCCAACTCCCATCTTGCTGCAACCCTGAACTCTTCAGTCCAAAGTACCTGAAGGTTTGCTGCTGAAGGGTTATTCCTGTAGGCTATGCAGGGAGAGGGCACCTGCAGCATCCTCTGACTCCTTCAAGCTGCTACCAGTCATCCCTGACCAGCCTGCCTCTTGCTCTGTTGCAGTGTGCTCCCTGGAAGGACAATGCCTGCTGCACAGCCAACACCAGTTTGGAAGCCCACAAGGACCAATCCAACCTGTACAACTTCAACTGGAACCATTGTGGGCTGATGCCACCCAAGTGCAAGCACCACTTCATACAGGACACATGCTTGTATGAGTGCTCACCCAACCTGGGGCCCTGGATTGACCAGGTAGGATCAGATCTGCTGTGATTAAGACAACAGGGCTTGTCCTGGCCACATGATATGTTATATGCTGGTCCCCCATATGGTATACCCCTGGCATGTATGGAAGTGTGCTTTCCAGGGATGCTGCAAACTTTCCTTCTGGGTGGAAAGATTCAGAGGACTTTGCTAGCCTCTGTTTAGGTAGTCAGACAGGCTGATGGAAGAACTGCTTGTTGTCCAGGCATGTCTTTGCTGGGGCTGAAAATCTTCCAAGATTAGCTTGAGCTAACTGGGCTGGAGCCTGCTGAAAGGGGCTGGGGGGGGACTCTGGGTTCTGGCAGATCCTGCCACTTAGCTTTCAAGGGCCACCACCAGTGTGCACGGTCCTGTTCCCTTGCAGGTTGACAGCAGCTGGCGTCGGGAGAGGATTCTTCATGTGCCACTCTGCAAAGAGGACTGCGATGAGTGGTGGGAGGATTGCAAGGACTATGTCACATGCAAAGAGAACTGGCACAAGGGCTGGAACTGGGCAACAGGTTGGTGGGCTCTGTGGAGCAAGCCTTTCCTCACCCCTGCAGGCAAGCCCCTGATAGTGTCACTGCTGCCTGCCTGGTGGCTGGAGCCAAGACCCCTAATTGTTCCTGCCTGTCTGTGGGGTTGCTGATTAGAAGGTGGCCAAGCCACCATCCATCTGCTAAGATGCAGTGATGGGCTGTGGGCAGGTTGCCAGAGCTGCTCCTCCCAGGTGAAAAGACGTGAGTGAAGTGTGCTAGCTCATGTTTTCTTTTGTGATGCTGTCTGTGTTCAGGAACGAACCGCTGTCCTTGGGGCTCCATGTGCAGACCCTTCAGCCATGTCTTCCCCCGACCAAAAGACCTGTGTGAGAAAATCTGGTCCAACTCCTACAAATACACCACAGAGCACCGGGGCAGTGGACGCTGCATCCAGATGTGGTTTGACCCTACCCAGGGAAACCCCAATGTGGCTGTAGCGAAGTACTATGCTTGGAAAAAGAGATCCTCCTCTGCTCAGATGGAGCATGCGACTCCTGAGACCAACGAAGCTGTGGGTGTTCTGCTGTGGCCTGCCCTGGTCCTGCTGCCTCTGGCCCTTGTGGTGGTCCCTGAGGGAGCTGGGGGCTGTGGATCCCAATGGATGAGGGTCCCTGTGATTGCTCCCTGAAGGGACATGGCTTGGACTGCTCCAGCTGTCCTACAAGAGGAGCTGGCGTAGGTAACTTGGGTCTGTCTGTTTAAGCTGGTCAAGCACCCCAGAAAGTGTTCTGTATGAGTTATGTTGTTGGACCTTGATACCTGCCTCTACTTTCACCTGCTGACAAAGGCAGTTATTTCCTTGCTATCCTAGAAAGGCCAATACCATGTGTCTTTGCTCTGATGTAGGGAGCTCCTTCACATCTGGCTGTATGCTAGGTTAGCAGTACTTGTTCAAGGTCCTTGGCTAAGCTCTAGTCTTTCAGACTGCTCTGACTCCATGGAGGGTGGGGATGACAATAAAATACTCTTCTGAATCAGCCTTGCTGTACTGAAGTTAATTACTTTCGAGGAGGTAGAGGTGCTCTGGGGGGTGAACAAGACTGCTGGACCCAGTGGTGGTGAGTGTGGGGATCTGTACCTGTGGGACTTTGCCTGGGGGGTAGGAAAGGTGTAGCCTTCTGGGTCCAGAGGGCTCCTTAGCTGCTGTGCTGTGCTCCATCCTGCTGGATGAGGTGCAGAGTTGCCTGTGTGTCCACACTGGAACTCCTGCAGCAGACCACAGCTAGCCTTGAGAAGCACCTGTAATGTCTCCTTCCTTGTCACAGCCTTTTCTGTGCTTCTTCCTCTTCCCTCTGAGCCAGCCCTCTCAAAGCTGGGTGCAGGAGCAGTCTGACCTTCTGTGCATGGATTGCTGGACCTCAATGCAAATTGCTGCTGCAGCCTGGTGCAAGTGGCACCTGCTTTTCCAGCTGAGCAAGTGTCTCTGAGGAGCATCTTGGCAGAACTGTCCTTGTCCTGCAGCTGTCCAGAGATTGTATGTGGAAAGCTCCCTCTCCTTTGCTACAGCTGTGCAGTTCAGGTTGACTGGTGCAGCTTTCCTCCTCCTGCCTATGACCTGGTTTTGGGTGTATATCTGTGTTTCTCCAAAACTTTCTCTTCCCCCGGGGGCAATGTTTCACAGCCCTCTGCATGGGACTTGCAGATGTTATAAGTAGCTGTGCAAAGGCTGACTGCTGTGCTTACTCTGTTTCCTTCCTTGGAAGTGAAAACAAGCCTCTAACAAAGCTTCAGCAACTTTTGTAAAGGAATGGCAAAGGGGAGAGCAAGGATGAAATGCACAGGGCTACTCGGGTTAGGCAAAGTCTGCAGCTGTCCAGTCTGCAGAGCTTTATAGTCTTTCAAATACTTAAAGGAGTCTTTAGATCAAAGCAGCTATTCCAAGAAGTTTTTCTGGTTTATTGAATTTTTAAAATGCTCCTAATGATACAGCCTCTATTGTAGCTGGTTCCTTGTTCCTTGCTTTTATATGAACACAGAAGCACTTTTTTTCTTTCCCTCTCTAACTTCAATGTGTTTCTGCAAAAGCTGAAGCTATCCTAGGACTGATGCTGGCTTAAAGTAAAAAAAAAAAAAAAATCTTTAGCCCATGTGTGGGGTATGGGTTTGCTGGGCCTGACCCAGGTAGGGACAGGGAAGAGGAAACACCTGGAGCTGATTCCTGTGATGGTGATCTCCATAAAGGACAAAAATAAAAACTCTAAATGCAAGGCTGCTTGAGTTTAAGGAAGATTCCATTCAGGCAGCTCCCACTGGCTATGGACTTGTTGTCTAGGCAGGTTCTGATCAGCTCTGCCACTGCGCCTAAATAATGCTCAGGTACTTGTCTTTTAGAAGCATACTGGGATCCCCTTCAGGGCTGGTGTAAAGTCTTCCTATTCCACACCAGTGTGAGAACCCTGCCTGCAGGCCTGTCCCTGGAGGGAGATCTGACCTCATTGTTTCCAACCACTCATAGTTTTATCCTTTGGAAGTTGCTTTGGCATTAGCTGCAAGTGATACTGCAGCCAGCATCTCATCTTTATGAGAAACTTCTAGTTGTAGAGACTTGCTCCCTGGACACTTAACTGGTCCTGTTAGTACTCTTCCCATGCTTGGCAATGGTAGGATAACTTTGCCTATTGCAAGCTACTGCATGAGATCTGGGCAAACTGGTCTGCACCTACAATTAGTTCGTCTTTCTGTCCATTGATTCATTGCTGGAAGAGGATCATGTTGCTGAGACTGCGAACACCAGCATAATTGTTCTTGCTTCCCAGGCTAGGCTACACCCTCAAATTCTTTCTGTCAGGTAGAGAGAGGTTATCTTCATTTAAAACACCCTGTAGTGATGCACTGCAGAGCATCCATGTTAGTGTGACATTATGGAACAGCAGTGGCTTGCAATCAGTCAGTGTTAATCCTGACTGGCATTGCTGGGATGGAAGGTGGTTGCAGCTTGCTGCTTATCCCCTTTATTTCTGCTTACCTTCTGTCACTTGGGGGGAACTGCACAACCTGTTTGTCACCAGGACTGACTTAAGCTCCCTGAGCCCCTGTATCAATTCCTACCTGTGCTGTTGTCACCTATTTGGGTTTGTCTCTAATATGTAATGAGTGTTTTGTGGTTTGATGCCAGGCAGGTTAGTCTTAATGCTTGGTTTGCTCAATCTTTTTTAATTCATTCCTTCTCCTTCATGGAGTCCTCTGTGCTTCCAGCCATGACCTCTGATCACTATGTGGACATTTACCTGCTGAGATACTCCTCCATGCTCACCAGTGCCAGGATAGGCAGGATCAGGCTGGTGTCCTGGGCTGGTCCAGATGCCTCATTAAGCATTCCTCCACTTCTGGAATTAAGGTTACCATTACTGTCTGCATCAGGACCTGATTGAGCTGGTGTGTATAGACATCATATTCAATAACTGGTATGGTTTTGCTGTAGGTGTTCTCTTTCTGACTTTTGACCTCATCCTTATTTTCATGCCATATATTGCTAAGGCCATTCTGAGCATTCTCATCCCAGACGGAGTATCTTAAGGCTTTGAACAACTGCCTGTCCTGGATCCTGGTTGTCTTGTCCATGTTTCGGCAGTATGGCCAGCATGCTTCCCCTCTCATTCACATCATGGACAATGTTTACCTGCTGGTCCCCCCTGTGCTGAACCCCATCATCTATAGCATAAACACTAAACATTGACAGGATCTGCCTCTCAGAGGCAGCTCTGCCTGAGACAGCAACATCTGACTGAGGGAGGTTTTGAGGGATGGGATGACTGCAGGCTAGAGGCAGCTCATCTGTGTCATTGCTTTAGCATTTCCTTGCCTTGGGGATATTTTGGATGGGAACTTCAGTTATCATGTGGTATCTTTTGGGCTATAGTGATTTGTTGTGTCTGATGAGCAGAGTCAATAACTTAATGTTATTACTTGAGCTGGGATCATTCATTGTGTACTATAGAAAGGTTTTGTTTTATGAACCTATTCTAGAAAAAGGCAGCCTTGCAGAGAAGAGGCTGATTAGATCAGCTGTCCATCTCTTATCACTGTCTAAGTTCATCTGCTTAGCCTTGAGCTGAGCTAAAAGGGTCAAATGTTTCACCTGTGCTATTCTCTGTATTTGATTGTTTCTTGTGATAGACTTTATGACCCTGCAATCATTTGTGCACTAATCCTAGCATGCTAAATACCACTGTTCACTCATTTCAATGATACTGTTTTCAAAGAAAATATCTTGAAGCCCAGAAATGGAAAGAACTGAAGAGAATTTTATGAATAGCAAAACCACACTCTGTTCCTAGCATCAGGCAAGAAGTAGGAGCTCTTCCTACCACACCTTCATGCTGGATCCTGCTGCTCTGTCTTTTGGCATTCTCCTCACCACAGACAGGCTGCGTGAGCAAACTCCTGAAGGAGCTTCTCCCCACTTTGGATGCTTTTACTGATTCCTGTTATCGGCAGTAGTGTTTCCATCATCAGAAAGGTGGAGAATGTACATCTGCAGGGGCTTCAGGTACCTGCCTGCTCTGCATGACCATAGTCAAGGCTGTGGGGTGTTGACAAGTCAAGCTTTCTGTGTGTCCCCTCATTTTCCTGGAGGGGGATCTGATCTTGGGGACAGATTTCCAGTCCTGACCAAAATGTCCCCACTTACAGGGAAGTCACCCTGCTATTCAGACAGGGACCCTGTAAGTGTGTTCCTGAAACCACTAAAAATTAGCTCTGCAATTTGAGGGTCAATCTGTTAAACTTCATGCTCCAGTCATGACCCTTTGTCGCTGTTGCTGCTGCTGCATCCTGAGGCTGGGAATCTCCTCTTTTCCACACAGCTGTTCAGGACCATGATTTCTTACACGGGGTAAGGTAAACTGCCTGCACTATCCAGTGCCTTGATCCAGGCCATGAGGAGCCCAGACTCCCCTCAGTCCAAGAGCACAGCAGCAGCATCCCACTTTCCTGTCTGCTCTTGCTGTGTCACAGGATGCTTCCAAGCTGGCTGCAGGTTTGTTTCTGCTCATTTATATGGAGTTTTGGATGCGTGTATGTAACTGATTGCTGCAGCCCGAGAGGTCCCCCCTGTGGTTACCTACAAGCCAAGATCACCTGGAAGGAGGGTTCTGCATTGGATGTGATTCCTGGGTCTCAGGAGCTATCTGCAAGAGCTGGAAAACAGAGGAGGGACATCAGCCAGCGGGGGATGTTTGACTCCTTTTGCTCTCCAGCCAACAGAGAAGGTAACCAGTAGAATTGACAAGGTACTGTTGTAGCTGTAGCTATGATGGTCTGCTACAAGTTTATAACATCTCATTTTGTCCTCCTAATATAGGATAGAATAGGATATTTCAGTTGGAAGGGACCTACAGTGATCATCTAGTCCAACTTCTATTCAGAAAAGAAAGCCATGCTCTGGGGCACACAAAGCTTTCTGCATGTCTCATAGAGAAGCCAGATTCTCGAGCTGGGGAGTAGAGGCAGAACAAGGTTTGGAGGAGTCCAGTGCACAGCAAGACAGCACAGAGCTGCAAATGAGGAGCCCCAGCACAGCATAGGCTTTCAGTCCTGAGCATCAAATCCCAGGTTAGCACTTGCACACCAAGTGGCTGGCAGTGCCCGTTCCACTGCAAGGTTAGCTTGCAGATTGGGAATCCCACC